TTTTTTAAGTAACAGGGGCTTCTTTGGTCAGAACTGAACTTGGTTCACAAATGACTAGGAAATGCATGGTCGTATCACTGCCAACAAAACGAACACTCCTGACCAATATGGTTCTTTTCAATGGACAAGGGGGGTGCTTCTGCTCAAGGCGGATAGGTCATGTGACTTAGCAGGCAATCAGTCTATTGAATGCATTCAAAAGGACAGCTACTTGCTGGAGCATTGTGCAAGTGATTTATTGGATTTATTTCATACAGGTACTTTGCCACATAATGGAGAATGATACTGAACTACCCTCTGTTTATAGTCATATTTCCTTTTTGTAGCTGGAGGGAAAGAAATAAATCCCATTGTCTAATGTTTGTGTCATGGTGTACAGACATGGAATTCCTGCAGCTGTTAACATGTTTTATTCAATTTCAGGTTGTTTTTGCGATGCGATGACTACGGAAACGTCTATGCAACTCGTTTCTGCCGAAGCAAGATCTTTTGGTATAGCACAGAAAAGGGGCCTATTGCTGATGCTGAAATGTCGCGCTCAACTCCCACTGTAACATTTCAGAAGCTCGAACGCAATAAAGAAGTCATGGTTTTTGATAACATGCTGTTTCAGAAGAAGCTGTTACATTACGTCATCAACAAGCCGACTTTCCAGAAGGAACAAACAACCAACAAACACACCATACCCATCAGCCCAGCCATCTTCTTTACATTCGCGCAGTCTTGGAATCCCTTGACCAGCGCCCTCAGTAGCTGTCTAGTGTCCATGGTAGTCAATCCAGTAAAAGCCAGGATGCAGCGTCAATGGGGGAATGAGGACCGCCATGAATCGTACGATTTGAGTAACTACAGGGCTCAGATCTCAAGTCAAAGCGGGCTTCACATGCCAGAGCCAAACGTTACCAGCATGAAGAATTAAACCTGCTGACCTATGAAAACAATTACACTGCATCTTTGGCAGAGTATGATGAAGAACCAACATCCCCAGGCCACTCAATGACCCTTGATTGGTTTAGTCTGGTGTCCAGACTCATCAACTCAACCATATGACATCTGAATGATAGAAAGAGAGGTAAAATACACATGCATGAGCACTCCTGTGTCCTTGGATGTGTCTGGTCAAGGTATTGGTTAGATGTCTCTTAGCTGGCCTTGGAAGCTTTGCAGTGTCACTGTGTAAATTGTGCAACTCTGGATCATTTGTACAGCTTTGAGCTTATAAATATTTATCATTAACATTACTGTGTGTAGTACCGTTACCAAGGTGTTATCTGTCACATTGTTACTTCGTATTCCTGAAGTTGTACAGAGGTAGCATTGCAGCCAGCTTTCTGGATCAGAAACAACTTCAGTTTATGAGACCTTGAATGACAAATTCTTACACAAGCAACCCTTTGTTCTTAAAATAAAATGTGAGGATTTTTTGTTGGTTATTTTTTCCTCATTACAGGATTCTGTTAACACCCTCACACTAAAACAGTTCCGTTAAACAAATCTAGTAACTGCTGTCACTGAACCAGGGAATGTCCAGATGTCAGAACTCAAAACTTGGTAAAATAATTTTATACATATATAATATCTTCTACAAAACATATGAGTCAAGAGTTCTCAGGTAAAATGCTTGTCCAGACTTGGCCATAAGAAGGTCACATGACCCTTTTTTGCTCACTAGAGGGAACTTCATGTGACCCTTTTTTGCTCACTAGAGGGAACTTTAGACCGTTGTTCTACTGCTGACGTAGCAAGCCACCCATGAACTGATTTTTCATCTATTTATACAGTGAACATGTACATGTCAGCACAGGATATTCATGTTATGTCTCTTTTTAAATATGGGCGATTCACAATAGTGGATCTCCAAGTTTGCATCGTGTTAGCCAATCACGATGCGCGAAATCTGTAGACCCAATGCGCATTTGGAAAGGGTCAATAGATTGTGTTTATTGTGATTGGCTAATGCATTGCAAACTCTTGGAGACACACTGTAGTGAATGACCCGCAATGTTTATCATTACAGGTTGCGGTCTGTCAACCGCACTCAAAGCTTTGTAGCTTGTATGTGAAATAGCAGAGCAGGTGTGTACAGTACGTGGACATTTGTCTGCTTTTACAGTAAAATGATGATCTTCATCATAGCTTACTGTCCAAAAGTAAAGGTGGTATTTGTAGTGCTTAAAAGTTGTTGAATATTTTGTTTATGTGAAAAAACTCTCTTCTTATTCATCTTGTGAATATGGGTTTCATATTTCTGATGTCCTTGTAAATACACATCGCTAAGTAAAAAGTTGCTAGCAAAATAAAATGTAATATAGAAGGGATGATTAATTCTGTGAGAATCTTACAGCACTTTGTAATTGATGTTGTTGTTGCTAGTTTGTTCCATTTGAAGGGATACTCTGAATATCCTTCCATCCACACACCCCTCACAACTTTCCCCATATTTCTGTTAGGGTACGTTTTCAACTTTCACGTGGCATTATTTATTGTAAATTACCTGTAAATGTTCATGCTTAAACTGTCTCTTTGCTTGAGTGATTTCTTTCATACCACGGTTTTCCAGAACAAATTGGTCATGGATGGAGACACCTCCGATGGCTTTTCACATGCAAGGAAGACTAGGCAATGAGATTGGAGACATGATTGGTCTCCTAATCCATGCTGAAGTCCAGACATCAGTACTTCAGTCTAATACGTAATTAAGAGAATTGTGAGAATTTGGACACTTTGTGGACGTGCTGTTAGAATGGAGGCTTACGTACATTGAGTGCAGGGAAAGGCCATTACAGGGAATGTGTCTCGTTTTAAAAGAGTGCCCTCAAATAGTCACATACCACCCATGAGGCATCACCTTCCAAATGTTCTATTGATGGCCACTTCATGAGGTTTTGTGGACATGCAGTTGTTGCTTTAGAGTTGTATGCATTGCGCAGTTAAAGATTCAAATCATTAACTTGCAGTGAATGAAATAAAGTAATTGGTGCCTATTTAACTCTTTGTGTTGTTTGACCCATTGTGTGCCATGTAAAGTCAAACTGTAATTTTTCCAATTGATCTTAGATTTGGGGGGACTTATAAGATTTTTTCCTTCTATGTACCAATTTCACGGAAGCATAATATTTCAACTCTCCCTGATATAAAACAAATGAATTTACAAAATGTGATGCGCCATTTTGGTTTCTTCAGAATCTTCCAGTCATGCATAGTCTGTTTCAATGGGTTTTATAGCTAAATACAATTTTATGAGCCAATAAAGTGAAAACTGAAGTTGAAGGACAGACACCTGGTACACTGTTATTCTTTTAATATCTTGTAATATTGGAAAAACTGCATGATTTTCAAATGAATATATCACATTTGGGAAATAAACCCTGCCAAGTGAGATGATTCCTCTTAAGTGCTTTCTTATTGGGAGACACTCATGGATTTAATTTGGAAACAATTTTATTGGGATAGAAGGCTTCTAGTGAAGATGTCTTGAGATGAATATTACATCTGAATGATAGCAGATTTATGCTCAGTGCACAGGTTTGGAGAGAAAAGACAATGAAATTTTTGCCAATGTCATGCAAACATTTACTGCGGTTGGTACTCTTCATACATGAAGTCCTTCAACTAAATTAAATCTTCACTGCTTTAATGTTGCAAGATACTGTGTCTCCGTCATGAAGTTCCGGTTCAGTATATCACATAACTATTGAAAGCTCTTCAGACTTATCACTATTTGGGAAAGTACCAGCAATTCACCAAACTACAAATGGTAAACCATGAATCAGCTTGGTTAAAGGAACTGTATTTTGGCAATATTTTCTGCATGAGATAAATTTCCAAACAGGAAGATACATGTAGTATACATTACAAACATCCTAGTCAGTATTAATGTTTTTGAAGGCAAGCTACATGTTTTTTGAGTTCGCTTACAAGCAGGAAAAATACATTTTAAAAACATATAATTTGTTACGCAAGCTTATAAGCACTCAGCATGCCTGTTCTCAATACAAATATCAACTTCTATTTCTGTACAGTCTACGCCCCCCCAAAAAGGTGCAAGTAAATGCTGTCACTTTAAACACAATGAACTAGTTCAGTATTCTAACAGTACAGCCAAAAATGAAGTGCATCTAGGGTCATTCCAAGGTGCGTGTGAGGTCTGACCAATAAGTGCAGCCCTTCCTGGCCCCGAGCTTAGGCTAGGCTTTGTTCCTGAATGACCTTTCCTTGTTTGACATACCAAACTGCTTCATTGTCAAATAGCAGTATTTAACTACAGTTTAAAAAGGCAAACTCTTGGATTGATGATGCTTTTATTTCATCTTATTCGCATTTAGTGATCCAGAAATATACCCTGGTAAAAACACTCAAAATTGAGTTTGTGCCCCTTTTAAACTGATCAGTAGATTAAACTTAAATGACAAGATGTGCATTTAAAATTTGATTTCAAAGGAGATGATGCCATTTCTACGTACCAAACCATACTGAGTAGTAACCTTGTTTTGTGTGAAAAGTGACCCAAACTCAATTTTGAGTGTTTGGAATGACCTATCTCTGGATTGCCAAATGCTAGTAAGTTGCAATGAAAAGCCTCATCAAGCAAATAGCCATGCATGTAAGTTATAAATACCGCCTTATGTTATCAATTATATTTAAAATGGATGGTTTGCTTGCATCTTTTTAGAGGGGTGTCCTGTATATTTGACATTCTTGAGCGAGCACATGAATTTATTTGGAGTGAGAATAAAACTCAACACATATCTGTACAGTAAAATTTATACAAAATATGGCACAAACATTCATCAAGCAAAATTGTTCTATCCTGAATCCTGCTTTACATTACTTCACATGAATGCTAGGGTGAATTAAATTCATTACTGTAAGCAAAATGACATACCACAATTGAAACAATACCTGACATTCAGAAATTATCTTCACTTGTTTTATACACATTACAAATTTAAACCCATTCTGCAAAAGAATAAAATTATCCCTATTATTTGATTAAAAACACTGCATTGATGAAAGGCAAATATCGTCGTGTCAGTGCAACAAGGTCATCACTCTCAAATTTTGTTTTGTACACGAGATACGACCTTGTTGCACTAACGTGATGATAAGCTCTATTAAAAGTTCTCTATCACAGAGCAATAATCCATTTAATGGTCCTGTGTACCAGTACATGCAACAACTTTAAACAATCTGTCTATTCTGTTCAAATGACGTTCAATGGCAGGGTTTTTGGGGGAGGCATGTAGAGGGATCCCAATGCGACGCTTTTAGCGGCGATCTACGCATTTCCACGTTTGAAAACGAGGCTGTATGTGTCAGCTTCAATTCTCAATACGATCAGATGATTGAAAGTAAGGAGTCAAGACACAAAATACATAAAGATATGTTAAATGGAGACTTTTCAGGCTGCAAATTATTGTGGAAGAGTCAGGATGCTTCGACACGTAAAATCAAAAGAAGAAATAACAGCAATTTACCACGAACTAACATACCTGCGATGGTCCTGTATCTTGTGCAGTGGGCGTGGTTTAAATTGAAGTGGCGTCACACTTACGAACCGGATACTGCATGTACCCGGTACTGTGTCGACTCCGCGGGCGCGCGCGAGGAAGTTCAACACAGAGAGCCTCGGTCTCGATGCAGATATGTGCAGACGGCACTAATGTGAAATCCCTCTATATGAGACCATCAGGCATCTGCCATTAAATGACCTGCCAAAGGGGGGGGTCATTACCCCTAAAAGTGCGGGGCCAGCACCCCCCCCCCCCCCCCCCCAGTAAAGACATTTTTTTCTGATAACAGGTAAATGACTGCACCACCACCAAGATATATCCTTATCAGTTTATGATCTATAATACATTGCTTTATTTCAGGTTAAAATACAGCAACTTCACGCCAAGGTTTACTTTCTCTACCGGTAGGTGCTCTACAAAATTCTCAAAATAAATTTCTTGTTGAATATGTTAAGAGACATCTTGTACCAAAGGTTACAGTGACAGTTTGTGCCAAGAAGGAAGCCATGTTAGGATGTCATTAGCGTTTATTGTAAGTGTCTAATGAAACATCTCCAAAAGAAGTAATTTTGAATCTAAGTAATGTCAAATCTTCCACACTGTAACTGAGGATTTATCATAAACTCCCATCAACTCTTGGTATTTTGGAGCCAGGACAGAACTGATGATTTGTGAAAAGTCAAGAAGCTCAGATGAAGCTCAGATGATTCTCTATGTGGCTTTCAGATAATAGGAGATCAAAGCTCAGACAGCTAATATTGGTCTGTCTATCTGTCTGTCTGTCTGTCTGTCTATCTGTTCAGGGTGAACATTGCAGACAACTTTAATTCTTCCAGGATTTTAAGCGCGCATGTGTAGATATCTAAAAATATCCCAAATATGCTCCATAATGGTACCTCTCCCCTACCCCCGCCCACACAACATGTCCATGTACTACTCATTTCTCATTTGGCTTTGGCTGAGCAGCCTGCCCTGAAGGTCCATCTTGGCCAGAAGACAAGCATAAAGTGGACATGGATTCCTCCAGGTCCACTTCATTGCAATTGAAGGAATCGTCTTCACCGCCCTTAAGATCACGGCGCATTTCTCTGGCAGATTTCTGAGTGACTTTCAGGTATATCAAGCAGTTACTCAGTGGCTTCTTGGGCTCCCAAGGCTGGCCAAATGTGAAATAGACAACTGGGCAAGGACTGAGTTTCATTTGACTGGAACAAGAAAAATAAGTTAGTATCTTCTGAAATTTGTTTCCATCAAATACCTTAACAAACTCATCCTGTGTAAGTTTCTTGACATAGCGTTCACGATTCCCTTCGTTAGAGCTGTTGTTTTGCACACTGACCCGTTCGAATCCTTCCCCTGGTACAGTAGAGTAGCAGTAGACATGACTCCGACAAAAACGCCTCGCAAAGATGTTCCCATCATTATCACAAGATATGTGAATCCTGGCACGATAAGAAAAAGGAAAGGAGTTGCTTTAGTTAATGTTCAAGAGGAAAAATGGCAAAATTCAGGTATTCTAAGTAATTAACAAAATTGGTTCTAGGGCATTGAAAGATTCTGTGACAGCAAATCATGGAAGGGTTTTAATGTTTGCATTTTTTGTTCACTATAAAGATGTCTTCATCAGACGTTTTAGTGCAAGCAAAATTTGTGACAAGACTCACACTGTTGAGATTACAAGTTAAGTTGATTAATTTAGCGGTACAGGGCAATTGTAATGTCCCAGTACAGTCGAGTGATCAGTCGAGTGATCAATCAGCGTACCCCAATTGAGTCATATTGACTCAATTCAAAGCAATTCAAATTAAAGTCATCAGTGGCTTGGACCATGCATTGATTTGGGTCATTAAAATAATGCATCAAGTAATTTGCACACACGCCTGTCATTCTTGTTGTAAGATCAATTGCTATTATGACATTGTCAGTTAAATCTGGCTTTTGTGTACATTAGCTACGAGTACAACTGAGCCGGTCTCTTGGTGCAAAGACTCAAAAAAAAGGGACTGAACTTTCATTTGATCAGCATCATCAGACTTAAGTCCTTTACCATTCTGACCAATGTGCTTACCCTTTGGACAGGGCATCTAACAAATCCTTTGTGGTATCCATCTGTTTCTTGGTGATTTCCATCGGCTCAATATTCAGACCTGGAAAGTGCAGTTTACATGTTCTATGCCCCTTACTCTGACATGACTTATTGTCACCATCTGGCTCGTTGTCTTGGGGTGACTCAAACATCGGAAACTCTATATCAGCAATGTCAAGGCTGGCATCTTGAAAATGATAGGGTTTCTTGTGAAACACCAAACATCCATCACGGCTGTTGACCTTTGTTCCTTGTTTCCCTTTGCTCAGTGAACGAAACTGGTAGAAGAGTTGTACATTGAGCTGTCTCTCTGCATGGAAAGAAGACAAAGGCTGCATTATCAAATCATTCACTTGACTGATGTGTGGGTTCATAAAAATGGAGGAATTTTAAAAGGTGCTTTCCAACTCTGCACCCATGCATTGCTTTACTTTTAACTTCATACCCAAGAAGGAAACTTTCTTTCTGTATCAAGATCTGATACATCATGTTATGGACTTAACTAATGTATTTAACTATCATATTTGATTACATCCACTCAATGTGATCATGATATACGATACTGGCCAGACAGGGATGTAGTGTTTTAACTTTGAATAAATATCATATTCAGATCTGTCCCAATGTGCCAATTTCATGCATCATAGGTGTTGCCTGGCTTATAGCAGTGGCCATTGATACTTTTGGCTTTAGAGAGGCTGGTAAGGGAGAGTAGCATTGTGTAAAGGCACTGGGCCGATGACATACTTATAGTGTTCCACCCACATCTCTTTTTTATCATTTTTGTATCCTGAGTGGACAGCATAACCAATTCAAGATACTCACTATTTGTTAGTTCATCATCAGATATGTTTGTAACTTCAGCATCATCTGTTTTGGGCTTTTTTTCTTTTGTTTCTAATGAAGACATCTGGTTAGCAGCTCTCTTGGACTTGGCTTTGGTTTTCCGCTTTTGTTTTGCAGTCTTCGGCTTGGTTGCTTGAGCACTGGAGCTCTCTGGCACATCTTTGCTTGATGAAGTACTTGAGCATGTGGGACTCCCTACAGGATTATCCACGATTGTAACAGTGGTACCCTTGGCAACAGCAGAAGGAACTTGGTGCGTAGAGTTGCTTGGAGATGCAGCTGAGACCACCACAGGGACATCTGTCAGCCCCATTTGAGCCACATGGTCTGCAGGTTGAGCAACTTGATTGGCCGTGTTGTCCACAGTTGCCATGGATACACCACCGTGAGGGATACATGCTGCTTGATTGAACCTTGAATCTCCTGCAGCCTTCACTGCTGTTGCTATGGCATTAGAATTTCCCTCAACTAGCAGTGCTTGAGTCATTGGAGGTGTTGGTCCTACAGTGATGGTCTTATTATTAGGAGCCTGGATTGGATTTGGGACTGGCATATCCTCAGCATCCTGCCCATTTGCTCCATCTGCTGCAAAGAAATTTTAAACCTTTTGATTCAAAAGAGATAAACAAGTATGAAAATGAACATGGAAACAGACTGGAGCAGGAATCAACCTGTAACTACCAGAAAGCTGTGCCAGCACTCTACCCACTGAGCTACCCAGCCCTATGTCAGTGGATACTCCCAATTAGACAACATCTTGGTTTGAAGATGCTAGTTAGAAGCCATAATGCCATACTATGTAACCAGGGACAAGACCAAAGCCATGATACCAACCTGAGACTTCATAAAAAGGGATTACACAGTGAGTTAAAGCTATTTACAGGTGAAATAAACTAAGCAAAGGAACTGATTCGGTGCTTATCTAATAGTTACAAAGACATTGACTGGTTGTTTAGATAGATAAGTAAAATTAAAAAACTATCTGCCTTGAGCACTATCCGCCGTGAGCAGGGGCACCCCCTCAATGGTTGAAAAGAGCCATGTTGGTGAGGAGTGTTCATTTTGTTGGTCGAGACATGACCTTAACGAGTGCAGTTCATAGTCGTTCGTGAACCAGCAAAGTGTAGTTCTGATCAAAGGAGCCTCCATTGCTGGGAAAATAGTGCTCTCACTTGGTCCAGCTCGGGGCTGACAGAATCACGAATGCACAAGTGTAACAGCAAAGGGCAAAAACTCATAGAAGTAAGAAATGTTTTGACAAACCTTGAAGTTTATCCAGGATTGGATCAATATACATGTAGGTGTCATGTAAGACATCGGCTGACACAGAACCAATGATAGACATCAAATCATCCATGTCAGCACCATCTGTAAATGGAAAGATAATGAATGAATAAAAACATTACAGAAAGTCTGACAAAGATCATATCCACAGTATGCAAGGGGAGCAATGTTGTCACGTGTCATTTGTGGCACATGATCAAAAGTTGGAATTCATTGTATGTCAAAAGTGACCATCAAATTGTGAGGCTTGGAAATGATTTTTTATTACTGTGGTTTTTGCGGTCATCTTGGACAATCTCTGAAATTTCTTTGCTGAAGGATAACTGGAACTTTTCAATGAATATGATTTTTGACAGCAGCATATGAGCAGAAGAGTGACCTTTTTTTTTTATCTTGACAAAACTTCACCTGATGTGTTTTACTGACGAGGATTTGCGTAGACAGCTCATCAGTCAAACTAAGTCCTATCTGGCTGGCACTCTGGAGCTCTAACAAAGTCAACCACTGTGTGAACTAACAGCCTAACAGGTGATCTTTAAGGGGAGGAACAAAGGATTCCATGAATGAAGCAACACTGGGTGGTTAAAAAGCCTGTAATACCTGGATTGGTCTGCTGATGAGGTTGCACCTGCTGGGGAGGAGCCTGTGGTAAATACTGAGGTGGTTGTATTGCTTGTGAAGGAAGCAATTGGTTGGTCTGAGCTTGAGATCTACATGTATGTGGCGCTGGCGGAAGTAACTGCCGTTGTTGTTCTTGCTGTTGCTGTTGATGTTGGGGATTCAGGTCAGAGGTTGCCTCAATACTCAGCTGCAGGTAATTGTAAGGTTCACCTTGTTGTGCTGTCTGCAGGTAAGGCAGTGACTGATGAGGATGGTTTGGGACCATTTGAGGCATCTGTAATCTGGGCTGACCATTTGCCACCTGACCATTTGCCACCTGAACATTTAGTGGCAAAACATGTGGTACCTGACCATTTGCCACCTGACCATTTAGTGGCAGAACATGTGGTACCTGACCATTTGCCACCTGATCGTTTAGTGGCAGACCATAAGGTAACTGACCATTTGCCATCTGACCATTTAATGCCTGACCATTTAGTGGTAGACCATATGGTACCTGACCATTTGCCACCTGACCATTGATGAGTTGCATTTGCTGTGTCCCAACTGATGTAGAAAGAGATTGTGTAGACTGCATCCTCAACAGCGTCTGGAAAACTGTCTGACTCTCCATGCCCTGAAAAACCAAGATGAATGGAAATTATGAGAGGAAATTACTCTTCTTCAAAAACTGTACATAATTAGTCAGTTAAATAATATCTTTCTATTATTCTTTCGTTTGTTAATTGCATTTACATCATCTATGAAATAATCTACAGCTTACATTTAGGTTTTTCAGTTTATTTTAAATGCATGTTGATGCTGGTGAATGGTGAGTTACTAGAATGGGGAGTCTGTTTGGGTTCGATTCCAAGGCAGGGGCAATCTGCGTTCGATTCCACGGCAGGGGCAATCTGCGTTTGATTCCAAGGCAGGGGCAATCTGCGTTTGATTCCAAGGCAGGGGCAATCTGCGTTCGATTCCACGGCAGGGGCAATCTGCGTTCGATTCCAAGGCAGGGGCAATCTGCGTTTGATTCCAAGGCAGGGGCAATCTGCGTTTGATTCCAAGGCAGGGGCAATCTGCGTTTGATTCCAAGGCAGGGGCAATCTGCGTTTGATTCCAAAGGAGGGGCAATCTGCGTTTGATTCCAACGGGCAATCTGCGTTTTCAATCAGAAACTTCAAGACAATATCTGTTTTCACACAAAGAGGTTCCTAGGTTTAAATTTACCTGCTGATCCAAGAGCAGATCACTTGATATTTCAAAGCCTTCCATTTGGAGCATCCGTCTGGAACCAAAAGGTCTGTCTAGGAGAATACTCTGATTGCAAAAATGTCTGCTTCTTGATATAAGGATCTGGAGTTAAACAAAAAACAATGAACCAAAGGAATGTAAGCACAGGCTCAATGTATACAGACGAAGGAGTCCTACAGTCAATGGTGATGTCACTTTGTTCAGAATACTATAAAAGAGCCTTTTTCATGACTTTTGTTTTCTTTTTGCCATTATTAGGGAATTCATGGAAGAGTTAAAAACCAGGCCTGCAACAAGGAAATTCAAATCTTTCCAAGACTTTGTATGATGTTTTTCAGTTTTCAATGGGAGTGAGTGTGAAGTGAATAATGAGGAAATCAGCTGATTGGAAAAAAAGCTGCTTGCCTGATACTTGACTAGTTGTAGGTTGGTGGTACCTTGAGGCACTTTGAAAACACGTTGGCATCATGGCTCATTGGCTACATCCTAATTTCACAAGGCTTACTAACCAACGGCATTAATGCACATCTAGATGTCATTTGGAAAACATTCTGTGGTTAATTTGTTCAAGTAATTGAAGTGGTTGTGTGGATAGCATTATACAGGAACTCTTCCTGTGAGATAGAGGTCAAGAGTTCAATTCTTAATTGTGACTGTTTTCCTTCACCAAATTTATGTCATGTCCTACTTTTCAACGAAATGTAATTTCACCTTTTTTGGCTATTCAAAGCTTTGGAGGTCGTGATCTATATTTAGGCAGAAGATATTTAGCCATTGCTGGCTTAAGGTAACTAAATGATATTTAGTCAGGCACCCGCACAGTAACTGTTCTGGGACTTAAAAATTCTTACTGTGACAAATCTTAGCTTGGTTCTGTGGCAAACATAGTCATTGTGACTTCACATTTACGAGGTGAGAATGAAACCATTTTACAATTTTGGACTTTGGACCTTTACAAATCCTCCAGAGCCACAAATCAGAATAAGAAAATGTAATTCTCTGTAATTAAATGTTGGACTCAAATAAAAAAGAACAAACGAAGCTTATTCTATATTGTGGGGAATGAAAAAAAGTTGATAGCTGGGAATTGAACTGAACTGGGAGCACTACCCTTGAGATTGCAAGATATATGCACTCTATATCCATTAGACCACAGACCCATGCAGCTTGAGATAAGGTGGTACATGTACTTTAATCACCTTTACACTACAGCCTTCCTCTTGTACACACATAAAAGACCTGTCTACTTGTAGCCCGCTAAATATCACTTAGTTTAGCTCACCACGGCTAAATATCCAGTCTCTTTTAAGGGCAGGTTAAGTGCAAGAACTGGTCAAAAAATTAACACGTGCATTATTGCTGCTGGTTAGAGACTCACACCTTACAAAATCAAAGGGCAGAACCAGATACAAAGCCCTTGCCTTTCCAAAATGACTCAGGGATCCCACCTTCTAGACTTAACTAATGTAGCCCAGAGAATGGAAGTCCAAATAAAAACCACCTCCTTTCATAATCTGGTATGGCCCCATGCCTACTGGGGCCAGGTAATCTACTGTTGCCACACAGGGCAGTAGACCTGTAGACTGACCCTTGTATCAAGACAAATCCACGGAGATGCCATTACTGTGGGGCCGTCAAACTCATGCATGGGTTTTATTGTGAGCATGTAACACCCTGTTGCTTTGATCTGAGGAAAATGCAACAAGTGCGTACCACCTGCGTGTGTGTACCACCCGCGCTAATGGCTGCTCATTCTGGTTGCTGGATGAGGACCTGTTTGTTTCAAATAGATCTGAATCTCGATCCGTGATCTGTTGTGGGTTCACTGACAACAAAATCCACCTCATGGATACAGTGAACCAGCGTTGGGATCACAACTGGAGATCCAGATCCATGTGACACAAACACACCCTTAGCCTTTAGGACTTAACATGTGATAGTGATACTAAAGCCTGATATGATCAAAACCATCATGTAATTGAATGAAAGAGACAGTTGTTGAATTGGTAGAGTTCTACTAGGGAAATGGATGGGGAAAAAGAATCATTTTAAAATATGCAACAGCAAAGCATTTAAAATAAACTAAAAGACTTTGGTTTTCCTGTTTACTTGCTGTAGGCCTACATGGTTTTACCTTGTATTGTAACTGCGCAAATCCGATGTTAATCTGAGTACTTCGTAGGCCACAAGATGAACCACTCACTTCCGACCGTACACCGTGACGTACTAATACTACAACTGTATACTATAGCCTGCACTTAGCTCACGCCTTGCACTCAGAATTAGACATTATTGTCACACGACACGCAGCTATCTCTTTCGGTTTCACTTTGGACAATGCATACATTCATATCATTGGGTATTTCTGAGCTATATTTAGTAGTTTCCTTCATACTTGATGTTAAATAAAAACGATTACGTGGTAATTCAGAAAGTCCCTCGTCGTCTGCTTTTCTCCGGAAAACCCCAGTTTTCGAGTGAAAGTATTATAACATACAGATGGTACTATCCCACAGTAGATTATTCATCGTTCTAACTGCCTGGTTTGTACTGCAAGCTGAAAATATTACAGCTGTCTGGGAAATTCCCAGAAATTATAGGTGGCGCTCTAATTTAAAACGTAGACTTAAGCAAAACCGGGGATTCCCAGAATCATCGAGGACTTTTTTTTAATTCGTATTCCGAGGATCACAGGAAGAAAAGAAACACCGAACCCGAATTATTTTAATAAAAGGGGACTTTGGTATTGCTAAAGGAAATGGTGACGTTCTGTGTTACAGTGAGTATGACCGTGGTTCTTTTGCGGGGGTTGTTAATAAACGTGCTCGTACATTTTGTCTGCGTCAGAATACGTCCAGTGCAGTCCTGGCGGACATCATCCTGTTACCAGGTATCATTAGCACTAAAGGACCCAAGGCAACCACAGATCCAGGAATTTCTTTAAGGAGGGGGTCAGACCTTTATTACATCCATCCTCTTGGAAGTTTATTTTGGGATGTTGTAATAACACATGATCCATCTATAGATAGCGAGCAAGAGCTTTGTACAGGGTGTAAATTACATACACACAACTCATTTCTAGCTTGTAGATGCTTCTCATAATTAACAGAGTGAAGGGATTACCCCTTGAGCTTGATAGATTACGTGGCCACAGGTCACACAAAGACGCATAATAGCCATGGGGAAGGAGGATTGGTCATGATCAGAAAATCATACTGATGGCGATCCTTTTGAGTGTAGGTGACAGCCTTGTCTCTTAGAAATTCTGTAGTTTGTGCATCTATTGTGCGCCAGTAATGTAATTTCTTCAAGTTCTCGGAATGACAGAATTTCAAACTGACTCAGTTTACTGAATTTTCTGTTATGTTCGCGCATATATGTAGTCGTCACCCTGTTGCACATGTACTTGATTCTGTAACAGACATTACAATGCAAATGAAACCAAATGCGTGCTTATTGGTTCAAGGCAGAAAACCGCCAATACAGAATTGAACCTCTACATTGCTGATAGCCTAACTGTCAAAGAAAAATCATGCAAATGCTTGGGAGTTATTATTGACGAAACACTAAGTTGGGGCCCACATGTTGATACGTAAGAAAACAGTCTCATCTAAATTAGGTTTGCAGTAGATTGTATGAAATACATAATTATGTACAGTCTGACCACTGGTATCATCACGCAAATTTGCATGTTGGGGCAGAGGGGTTGCGAGTCGCAGAAAAGACCGTCACGGTAAATCATGTTGTGAAAGAGTGGCTGGGTTAATTAATTGGACATCACCCACCGAACAACAGGTGGCGCTGTTCTTTGCCCCACCGAGCTATTTTTTCCCAAATACAGAACAGTTTGGGGATTCACCATTTGTGGGGAAATGGTTAAATCTTCGCCAGTCTTGAGAGACTAGTGTCCACGCCTCGTGGAAGCTTCCCTGTCGGAATGTCGGACATTACTGCCCTTTGAAATAACAATTTTAAAAAATCCTCCAGAGCTACGATTATAGACTTTATTCAATTCTGGTTATATCAGCGTGTTGAGCTAAAAACATTTGCGTCTAGCTGGCTTGTACGATAAAAATAATCTTGCCAGAAAAAAAAGACGAATTTAGGGAAGGGGGACCNCAAAGCCCTGAATGCGAAAACCCACCTGCACTGGACAGTATGTGACGGTTATACAATCCTGATTTTTAGAGAGAAAAATGTCGACGCAAGGCTGCAAGTGAACACAAACGCTTTCCTTAAAATGAATGTTTGAACCTTATAATTTGTAGCCATGTCAAACACAGAAGCAGCAAGTCTACAGTTGAGCATATTCCAGGCAACATAAATTTAAGGCTTCTGAAGGGAATACCGCGCACTTTGAAACATTGTTACGCTGTAGAAGTTTCCAGTTTCTCAAGGTGCACCCCCTTGTTCGTACATTACATTCTTGAACCTGGGAAGAGCTTGAACCACTGGGAAGAGCTAAAAATAAAGAAGTATATTAAATTGGGCAATCTGGGACCTCCATCGATAATCCCTTGATATTAGAATGTTTAGTTGCGTCTCCCATCCTACACACTTCCACCATTCCACCCCTGTATTCTCATAAAGAGATATTAATCATTCCTTCACTGCAAGGAACGGAAGCCTCACTCTGTCTTTTTTCTTTTCCTTTTCTTACCTCAAATAGCCATGAACCCCTTCAAACGGTCAAGAAAAGCGACCTTTAGTATTTCCTAATGCAAAAAATCGGAGCCACATTTTCCGGTGGAATTCAGTTTGAAATAAAGAAGGAATGCTACTTTCATCGTGAACAGCAATGATCTTCAGGAAATAGAAATGGCTTTTTTATGAAGCGAACTAGACTGTTTCCCCCTCGGCATTTCCCAAACCGCCAGCAACCTAGTTCCTGGAAGTAATTATTGTTTCCTCAAATATTTTATTTCAGAGCGACTGATTTCCAAGCCAGCCAACTAGTAAGCATTTTGGCTCGGCCGTTGTTGTAACATAATCACGACATGTGACGACCCACTGTCCCTTCCTCTGCCCAGGTTGTAAAAATTTCAATCACGCAACAACTATTAACACTTTTACAACGAACATTGTATACGCACTGGAGTTTACGCGGTTTGATACCGGTCTCCAACTATTTGCACGAAAGTCACGATTTTACTTACACAACTTTTCCTCTAATAAAGTTTTTTAAAAATAATTCACGCTATTGTAATAGTGGCAAAGAGGGCAACATCCATGAGATATTTGAACGCTATAAACAAAAACTGAAAATAAGATCTTCTTTCTGTACAAATTATACGATTCTTTAATGGCCAGCATCATCCATTTTAATAGAAAAAAATTTGATAAATAAAGTTAAGTATGTTAAATTAATTTTTCCAACTAAAAAGAAGGTACAATAAAATGTTAATGGCATAATAGGCAATGTATAGGCGTAGCTGTTTCAGGCGTTAAAGGTATAAACTCGTAATGATGTTCGCTTGTTTGTTTGCTTGCTTTTTTGTTGGTTTTGTGTCATAGAAATAAATTATTTACATTACTATTAAAGGAAAATGCGTATAAAATGACTGCTGTGGAAAATAGCATCTTCCCAACGTTTCCTTCTTTGGATTATTCACATCGTTTTTAGAAAAATATATCTACAGATTTGCAATCTTGTAACATGCAATTAGTTTAATGATGCCTCATTAAAACTTTGAAGATGTGTAGGAAATCACAGATATTGAAGTTAATTGCCATTGTTCTGTGCCTTGTCCGTGATACAAAACTTCAAAATAATATATTTAAGGCTGGAATTGTCAAGAATGACATATCGAAGACATGACATATCGCAATCAATGAAACAGTATACAGACAGTCACTGCATTAGGACTCCCTAATTATGGTATTATTAGCACTAATTCACAAAAACAGGTGTAATGTTGTTCAGTGGGCTGCCCAAAATCAGATAAAGAAGCGCCATCACAGATCCAAACGTAATTTCTTATTGAGGCAACTCAAAGTATAGATATATCCCATATCTAGAAGGGATCATCACGGATCATCGGGGATTATCGGGGATCATCAGGGATTATCGGGGTCCAGTAGCGTTTTCCCCCTAGGTATTCTTCTTATACATGAAGTTAACCCTCGAAATGAAAATTGACAAAACCCACAGAACACGAATTATCGTTGTCAGTGACATTGAGAACTCACAGAATCCGGTACAGGTTGGCGCGCAGTTTGCATAGAGCACTAACCTGCAATTTGGATAAATGGAATTTTATTAATTACTTCACCTGAGCTACTTCTGTACAGTTAATCTAATTGTCTTCAGAAAATAAGTCTTCTCTATGCCGCTAAGAAAATGCACAACCTTCTAATCAAGAAATATACAACTGGAATTTCTAAGGTCATTGAGGTCAAAGGCCATTTGTGGCCATTACACCATGGCACTCATACGGCGACAGCTATGCGACATGTCATTCCATGAGTTGCCGAGGGGCGAGGCACAGTCTGTCTCCGCCCCCGAGATCTGCAGCAAACCGCTATGAATGCTTCCCGGCAAGGAGTGCACTTCCGGATTGATGGTCCGTAGTTCCTCAGACGCCCTCAACGGCGTGACCACGATGGAAATGAGGCACGCGTGAAGTGGCATGTCTAAGGAGCTCCATTTCTGGGCGACGGTGAAGTAAATCTTGGGTAGCATTGGGGGGGCGTCCTCCCCCAGAAAATAGCGTCGGAGCTGGTCATGGAACTGGTCCAGGTCGAAGACTTTGACTTCAATGTCTCGCTCAAGCTTGGTGGGTTTCTCGTTGGCGTTAGGGGAGCACCAAAAGACAACACTGCGACAGCGACGTGTGACGTAGATGTTGCCATGCCTACACTCAAGGCTCACTCTGAAACCAGAATGAAAGTGAACGATCATTTATCAACAGTCTGTATCATCTTTGGGTTATGCGTGACGTGCATTATTTTGTGCCCTAGCAGTAACCTGGGCTCGTTTAGAGTCATCTTTCCATAATTTATTTGCAAATTTTTATCATCAAGAAAATGGGGGGGTCTGATGATTACCCTTATATGTTTCCAGTTTCATAAGTATTATAATCTCATTGGACACATGTACACATCAAAAAGATACGAAGCGCATTAAAAACACCATCACAGAAAGCGCTTGAATCGTAGTAATCTTGTCCTAGGCTCGGTTCCATATTTTAAAGTATTGTGAGTTCGATACTATTGGACAAGCCAAATAAGGAAAATTATTGTATCCGTCACCTCAGACAAGCATAGCTGAAGCAATACAGCGTAATGTAATGAGTATATACAGGAAATAATGATGACGTTATTTTGGGACGTTGACTCGCCTGCTTGAACTTCAAGTTGAAGCAGCGTGCATAAATAAGTTTGCTGTTCCAAATCACGAGATATGCTTATTACAGTTAGAATTTACTGAAACTTGAATTGATTAGACCATCTGCATTGTACGACACATCTCCCAAAATGCAGTCTGCCATCTACGAGACCAAGCCACTTCGAATACCACTCCTTCATTTTGTGAGCATTAATTTTTGGTTTTACAAAAATTTCATTTTCGCAGTATAGCCGTGAACAACCGCAAAGCGCAATCAAAATGCCCATTTCTTACAGGTCAGTTCAGCTTGACGTCAACAGATGGCGCGACGAAGAAGGTTCATAGGAAATGACGACGTCATTGTAAGCGATATGTTTGCAAGTGTAGGTGTGGAGTATAAGTCATAGGTTGTAGTTCATTAGAGAGCGTTAGTTTTTGGCTGCCACCAAGAATGACACCACACAAAAGCAACAGGAAGTTTTTGCATTTCTTGGAATGTATATTTCGTACCTCTTCGGTCATCAGCCATTTCAGAAGTGAGTCTGAATCGAATCTTTACGAAAAAAAAAGAAAAGCGCGAAATAATTTTGAAGTCACAGTTCCCTGACCTGTGAGCAACCCAAGTGGTGCGATTCAATTAAGTCAGTAGAATTAGTCTTCATTTTAAGTAAACGTAGTTCTTTCCTAGCCTTCCCCTCCAGCAACCACGATTCCATTCTGACAGAACCACTTAGTGAAACGAATGTGTTCCGTCCCCATCTAGTTTTGGGTTTAACCTGAAATCACTCATGGTCATCCTCTATTACAATAAGGTCCCCTCTTCATTCAAAATCCACACTCCAAGACCCAGGATAAATAAGAAACAACAATGATTAGGGCCTTACCCTCTTTCAAAGCAACCAAGAACCTGCGATGTCAGACGCATTTGGTTCTCGGTCATGTCTGGGTGGGCGGGCACTGAGCCGATATCAGGGAGGTGTATAGCCTCCATTCCTCGCTGAAGTCCTTCCTCCCACGGTTGGTTGAAATACAAGACACAGCCGTTGGGATTGTCAACGCACCGGTAGCCAGCGTCAGTGGACCGGTAGGAGATCTGGATGGACATGACATGTTCTGAAAAACGAGAAAATTGAAAGCTGAGAGAGCAAAGAAATGCTGATGGAAATTTGCGAAGTGCTGGAAAATTGTGATTATCTCGTTGGTCAAAATGATATCACAGGGTGTTAATCAAACACTACAACGTTTGTAGAGTAAATCTCCGGCACACTTTTTCAAGGTTCTACATCTCCGAAGAACTGAAATACTTTTAATCAGTATAAAGTACAGGGACCATGGACTTTTTCCACTTACAGTATCTGTACTGAGTTACCAAGCCCTCCTTCAGTTTGGCATTTGGACAATGTACCAGGCACACGTGTGTACGAAACATTTAATACCAAGATCCTATCAGAGTGTCTAACCTAGTTCGGTGTATTTAGAACACCTGCGTGAGAACCTTCAATTCCATCAAGAAGAATCAGAATGAGGGAAATTGGCAATTAGTTTAATTACAGCCGAGTCAGGAAACGGTTACTTCATTTGCCTTGCAGTGCCACTTCCATCATAAAACTGCATAAAAACGTGCAATATGCTAACACCAGAAATAAGAACATTCTTCGAATACCGACAGTGTAGTTAGGCAAATACGCTTTTTATTCGCGTACCGGTTTTAGGGGCGTTCCTACCTAATTCTTTCCCCATGCGACAACCCTTGAATCTCTCAGAGATTTCCCCCTTAAAAACTCTTGCCAAGTTTTTTCGTCAGGGAACGTCAGAAGTTGTCCAAATGCTTTCCGTAGGATAGACTTATTTAGATTTCGAAAGCTAATTTTAGCCGAGATAATAACCCCTAAATGTTCCCCAAATTTTCAATCCCTCCCAGTTCAAGTGACAAATTTATAACTTCAAAGGCTGTGTAACAAACTTTCCGAGCAAGAGATCATCTGGTGGTATTTATTGTCATCCTATACGCAAACGTGTTTTCAATGACGGTATTCCTATAGTCCGTTTAAGAGGCCAAGGTACCGGTAGTGCACTTTTGCATTTGGAAAAAAAGCTTGGCATGGACTCCGTATGGTAGCAGTATGGTTATCAACAAGGTATAAAAAGATTTGAGCGTCCAAGCGGAGATCAGGCGAGTAAAAATAGAGCTTCTTGCGGTCACGAGTTGTGGACAGAATAAATTGAATTTCGGTAAGGAATACCGTCATCACTAAAAGTCGTTTTTCCTCTCCTAGCTGCTTCAAGACTCACCAGCTGGTAAGGTGGGCTCCGAACAGGAGCGCATGCGCTTAGGCTGTGGGGAGAACTCGTGTGGCTGCTGAGACTGCGGATGGGGATTGGACACGTCGGTGGTATCCATGGTGACAGATTCCGTGGCCATGGTGACTGCGCTGGTGGTAGTGAAGGTCTGCGAGTTGGCCAGGGAACTTTCGTAGCTCGGCGGTGGGTTAGCTTTGGTGGAGGCACAGGTTGTGTAGCCTGATGACGTCACGGTTGTCATGGGTACCAGGTCATGGTAGTTGACGTGTCGAGGATCATTATTATTGACCAGAGCCTCGCTTACCACTATTTCGAGGTGAAAGGAAGGAAGTAACAGTTTGGGAACTGTGCAACAGGTTGGCTATATTTCGGGAAGGTCAGTGACTAAATATAGGAGAACAGTAAATGAAAGAAAATTCCAGGGAAAAATCCCAAGGAAAAGCAAAATTTGATCAAAAGAAAGAAATACCTGAACAATGTTGTGGAGTTCGAAAATGATTAATTTTTTTCGATCTGATGTTTTGAAATTTGAACACCAAGTTAAGAGTTGAACTAGAGGTGCTATGTCTACATACAGTGCACTTATTGAACATAGGCCTATGGGACACACGGTATTTCACATTCTATAATAATTTAGGCATTAAAAAGATCATTAAGCCTGATAAAAACTTTCAAATTTACCACCAACACTATCCAGTTTTGTGATTCTGCTCTGCTCCATTGCGAGGGCGCCCTCCTGCTCGTACACGTGACCGCTACTGGGAGGGTAGTGGTGACTGGATTGATGGTGACCATGGTTGCCGCCAATATCTTCTGTGATGACGTCACTGATGATGTCTAGATCAGTTGCGCCTCCGGTCGTGCTGTAACCTGTTATAATTCAGAGACGTAGAATTTTTAATTCTCAATAATGACAGAAATATGTGCGTTTACGTTTCACTTTTCTTAACCAAGAAGTAATGTTTCCTAGGCCAAAAGATCTCATCCTTGCAAACACATCAATGCTACCACCAATTAAATCCAAAACAAAGAACACCTCAAAGAAGTCGCTCTTGAGTAACGCTCAAGTTGGTGTTTTCAGTCTGTACATTTTCCGGTCTGTTTATGAATGGACATGTTCTTATCTTAATTTCATTCACTACTGGGTCTTCACTTTAAGATTTCGCTTTCCAAACGTTTGATGTTAGGATACTTACAGCTGTAATTAGGATAGTTGTAGCCAGCCGCCACATCAGTCCGACCCTAGAAAAGGATGGAAATAGAGCTTTAAAGGGCGGTTTTGGCAGAAGTTTCCTTACATGTCGACGGAATGTTGCCGTCGGGCGTGGCGGAAGCCACACTTTATCTCGGCATACTGGTAACTTGAAAAAAGGTAGAATTTTTGTCTAAAACAAAGAACCTGTTTGCTTTACCGTGTCAGGATACCAGAAGCCTGCAGCTTGGTGACAACTCGATTGTAGCGTCTGTCCATAGGGAGAACCAGCTGTAAAAATGGGAATATCTAATTTATAAATTAAATTTATGCAAAAGACCAGTTTTAAACTGGCACGTTCGATGAATCATTGTATCAGAACCATGGCAATTCTGCACATTATAAGCTCTTTTTGAGCAGCAGACACAGATGGAACTTAACCATTTTCTTTTGAAGAAGTCATTTTTGCCTTGAGGCTCCTGAAGGGAAAATTCATGTCTTGCTAGAATGGCAGTCTCCTGAAGACGGACAGAGTACACTGTTCGAAACGTCGAGTTATTCCCCGGTTCTTCTCAGAACCACACATACTCAAGAAAGAGATTGGTCCATGGTGTAACCGCAATCCTTTCACTCATATACATGTATAGTTCTTTCACCATGAAAACCTTCAAGTCTTATCTTGCTAGAATAGTTGTATATTTTTATACTTACTATAGTAAGACGAACGTGGGTCCATCTCATAAGGAGTGTAACGCGATGGATAACCACTTATAGCCTAAAAAAATAAAAGATTAAATAAGATAAATTAATAAAAAAGAGGACTGATTCAGACTTTGATAACAGATGGGAACAAGAGTCATAAAAACTTGTATCAGATTTCGACTGCAGTGTTGATGTCTTCTTTCAGTGTCTTTATTTTAACACTATGTATGCACTGATCATGCCTCAGTTTTAATTAGGAGTTTAAGACTTATTCGTAACTAATAAAGAAAAATACACCAATTATTTTGCCCATTCACAAAGGTTGGAATCACTTTATTGGACAGTTAAACTTAAACATCTACAGATAAATACTCCTGAAACACTTCACAAGAGGGGTTGGAATTGATGACGAGTGTTAAAACAATTTATTTCATGTCTTACCCTGTGATGATCGGCTGGGCCGTATGTTGAGCTGTTTGGCATTCGGTTTTTCACAGAGTTGTTGGAAGCTGTGTAGAAACAACAAATAGTGGCGTATTAACTGACAAGGCACTATTTGAAGTCAATGTTAATTAACAGTGCAAAATTTGAATGATTAGTTTTCCAATAGCGCATGCCCAAAATGAAGGGGGTCGGAGGTCATTCGGGAAAGAGCATTGCACATGCGTTGAGGTTGGTTCATTGGAGCGGAAATAGAATTATAGTAAAGATTGCGGTAACACCATGTATTTATCTCTTCTTTGAGTATGTGTGCTTCTGAGAAGAACCGGGGAAATGTTAAACACAAATACTAGCTTCACCTAAGTAAACGAATATCATTTCTATACTTTGTCAAAAAATGGTAAAATTGTTCGCTTTATCAATGAAATAAACTTGGGAATTCTCAATTGCATTTGAATATCGTAGTGAGCAGTATTAATTTTTTTCGGCATTATATAAACCTTTTGGATAAAGCACATGCAAGGGCAAGAAAAAGATTGTATATGACAGGACAAATCGGAGTCTGACACCCCTAGAAATTAACCCCCTGTAGTCTAAGCTGACCACAAAAACACCAAGACGTCTACGAGATTCAGCGTTTATTTTTGGTCACAACTGATACGGTTAAAGCGCCTGAGACAACAAGCTTAGGTAGGGGGTACCGCCTTTGATTCAGTACCATGTCGTGGATATCCACGTCACGTGTCTCTTAATGTTTTTTTTTAAGCTGTGATGGGGCTGTGCGTTATGAATCATAGCTAATGACGTCAAAGATGCAAAATGCGGGGGCGCACACGATGTTGACGTCACGAGTGGTGATCGCTGTTGGACAGTGGATAAACACGCGACCCATTTTCGGTGGCAGACTCACCCGGACTCAATATGCGGGCGGCCCCCCGTGATTTCTTTAATGCGTTACTAAGAACAGACCACTCTGGACTGCCTCCCTCAGAGTCCAATCAGACAAGATTGACAGTGATTCAAACCACAAATTAGACAACGGCTTTTTCTGTTGATTGTTTTTAACAGGTCAAAGTCTAAAATTTGTCTGGTTTTGTTCAAAACACGATTACGAGTTGTCCTAAAATAGGTAACTTACTCTTTATCAAACTGTGATTGTTTTTCTTCTTTTTCTTTCGAGACCAAGTTTTATCAAGATTGGAGCTTTTGGGCTCTCTAGATGGCGTGTGAAAAAAGCTTGTAAACTTTAAAACATCGACAAGACTCAGTTCTAACTTACTTTAAGCTTCGAAATGATAATGTTAAACATTACAGTTTTATTTTGACAGAAATATTAACCACTGTTTTCCACGTCTCCTCAAAAGAACATTCTCTTGCTGCTGAGTCATTTAAATCAAACAGGTTTTCTTTGAAAGAAAGGAAAGTGTTTGGAAATGCCACAGTATGTTCCATCAAAATCACTACTTACGTTTCTTGGGTAGGAATCGGTAGACTCTGTATGGCTCAGGGATGTCCAGTTGTGTCTTTTCGTGAACTTCGTCAATATCCGGGAGTTTGTTCAGAGCTGTGCGCAGCCGTGTCTTCCACACTGCCGGCTCAGGAACGTGAATTCCTGGCTTATACTTGCCCGTGTTCAAGGACCAAAGCTACCATTTCACGAAAAAGCAAACACTAATTAAAACTCCCTTAATTACCCATTGTTTCGTCCAAAGTATAAGAATCAAATTCCGATCCGTAACACTGACTCTGGATTCACTTTGATTTCAATCAAATTTGACAATCAAAAGTATGAGGAAAAATTCATATCTAATGTCTACATTGCTCCGATAAAATTCTTTTCAATTATACTAACAACAAAGGTAGGTTCACTTCTACATTTCCACAGGAATATTTCCACTGTAAAGTCTGAAAAACTGGATGCCAAACGCAGCAAAATCGAAATGACAAAAAGTCTCGGAAATGCAAATTAATTTAACTTCATGATTTTTAACAGTTTCAACTTGTAAGTTTGTTTTATCCACCACAATCACCTGTCAGAAATGCAGTAAAAACGGTTTTTTAATCTGCAAAATGTGGAAAAGAACCGCAATATTTTGCCTGGAGCAACAGGGAAAAATTCTGGAATAACTTGCAATAAAGCAGGGTATACACTGTACTTACTTTGAATATTTTGGAGTCTTCTTCTTGATTGTAATCTTGTTTTCCCGCGTGTTTCCACGGGATCTTGAAGAGTTTCTTGTCCTTGTCGATCCATTCTAGTCCCTTAACCGATCCTTCGTCAATCAAGTTCTCCAGCCATGGGCGCAGACGGTGGCGTGTGAGATGCGTACGGGCTGCGGCTCCGTCGTCACTCTCTGTGGTGGTCGGTGGGCTCGGAGAATGCATGGTGTCGCTCGCTCTGTCAGAACACAAGGAACGGTTGAAGTTGACTTTGTTGCGAGAGTTGAAAAACATTGAGAGGAACACAGAGCTGACTGGTGAAATTATGCAAGTCTTGAGAAATACGGTATCTGAAGGAATTAATGTTAAAACTAGATGAATCCTGCTGACTTCCATGGGACGTTAAATACAGTCGCAAATAAGGCTACAAAATGTGCATTAAAAGCGCTGATGCAGTAAACAATTTGGATCGTTTGTCATCTGAGATGAAATATTTTTGGAAGTAAAAACACTTATTTCGGTGATTTTGGTTGATTGAAAGAAAAATCGATGTTCTGATGAGGTTATGTACAGTAATGTTAAGTCAGAATTTCTAGAAATAAACAGTTTCTAAACAAATCAATTTACTGCCAATGGGGAGATTTTTAAACCGTTAAAGACCAGATGGATGTCTTCATATAAAAGCTGTCACAGGATTAGAGAAAGTAATTGTTTACAAGAAAACAGTAGTAACCGCACCAACTATAGGTCCAATGTCTGGCATTGGTACATGAAATTTCCTCTGCAATGTTGGATGTTAAACGCATCCTCTGATCTGAGCAATTATCGTAGGAAAATGAGAAATCCAGCTTGAAACACAGGTCATGGAAACGGTGTTGGAAAAGGAAGCCCACCTAGCACACAGTCAAAAAGTACTTTGGTCTCTGTTTCCCTTTTTTTCCCAGTGAGGTAAGCTTCGATGTAACCACTGATGGTACCCCGACGAGTCACCTTGTTATCAGGGTCAACACGACCGGCTCAGCGGACGGTTGCACAGGCCGCGTTACTTAAACACTTGGCGGTGCATGGCTCTCTGAGACCCACGGCTGGTCTTGTCATTAAGTTAACACGGAGTGTGTTGTCACCTGGACTCAGCGGCCGGGAAACGAGGCGTCCTCTCCTCACGAGCTGGTTGCACGCAAGGGGGAAGCTACATACGTTGGGGTTTAACCCCATGGATGGAACAAAAGACTTGAAATCCATCCCAGCAGTAAATATGGACTCGGACTGAAGCAAAACTTGCATTTAAAATGGTTTCAACGAGACTTTTGAAATGTGCCTGCATTGACTGAAGCGTTTGGGAAACAGTTCGTGCCTGGTTCGGTAGCGACGTATTTTGTACGGGCGCAATTTGCTGGAAAATAGTCCAGGCTATAGTCTTCCGCGTCCCAGAAACATGCTGATCACTTCATAACTCACTCTTAGGCAATACCTGTCCTTGTTTCTTGAAGCTCTAAAGGTAAATGTAAGATATTGTAAGGAATGCGTTTCATACTCAGCAGGATAGGTTAGTATTAACGTCATAAACCGCTTTTTGACAAGTCACGGTTAAGCGAAAGGATTGTTGATACACGGGCGGAGTTTAGAACGTTGTCAACATTTTTTCACATACGCTGATAGTTTGCTTGCTGTCAAGGCCCCTAACATCAATCAACAAACACAAAATGAGGAAACCTTCTGGGTAAGAATGGGTGTTGTCTTAAAGAACTGAATGCAACTTTTGCTGTATACTTTCTGGGAGGCAAAAGGTAAGGAAAGACACGCCCATGAAAAGAAAAGCATAATGAACTTAACAATTTACGGATTTAATCCATTCCTCCGGTTTAGCGCCGAGAGTATTTTCGTTCTTACGGCTGACAAGGCGCATGAACATGAAAATGAATTGGTCTTTGCAGGTGGAACCGACAATCCACCTTTAAACTGCTGATTCGTGATAAATAATAACCAGTATTCTTCCGTATTTGAATCTACCAACAGCTACCAACAAACAGGGGCTGTCACACAGGTCATACAAGGAAAGAAATCGGTTTTTTCTTTTAGTATTTTGAAGTCATGAAGGAAACAAGGTTACTGGGAACACAAATGCAGGAAGAAAGTGAAGCTTGCTGTGGTCATTTGTAAATCGGACGCGGAACACCTTGCAAGTTACGACATCACCAGCACTCCTTTTTCCTCAAATGTCGTCAACGCTAGTTATTTTCTTCCAATCATACACACTGGAAAATACCCATGTCGACCAGATGATCACAAGTGCAACAAAAAACATCTTTCATCATACATAACAGTAACATCAGTTAAAAAGGATTTGCATTGTCATGCGGAACCAAGAGAAGTCGTAAACATTCATGTTGTTTTCTTCAGACGTGGTTTACTGAATTATCTTGGCTGACTTTGACGGGGATAACATTCAATAATGAGGGTGTACGTTTGTTTCGAAAGCTTATGAAGACGGTTTTAAAAGAGAAGTTTGTAAGAAATATCCTGTCCGAGACTTCAGAATTTGGATTATATGTAATTTTCTGGAGCATCAATTTTTTATTGGTGGATTCAGGTCCTTAGCATTAACATTTAACCTGGTTCATATGAAGAGATATTACAGATTAAACGAAACGTCTGATGTAAGAGCAATAGACGTAATGTGATCAAGGAAAAATTCAACAGTCTACATGTATAGTCTTCTTGTTTGGGAAAATGTCAGACATCACTTAAGTTTGCAGTTGCCTCATCATAACTAGTTTTGTATCTCAAAAAAAATCTAAGCTACTTATGTTTTTGTCAGGAAGTGGTTCACAGTGAAGTAAAAGGTTCAAAGAATTCCGAGTTCGACATATCTGGCAAGGTTTGCAACTTCTCAAGCCATTTTAGTAAAAACTAAACAAGTTGCCTGGTTCCTCCGACCCTTGGAAATTCCTCTCTTTGTTCGTGTCCAAAATTGAACAAAGGGCTTTTTAAAGGTTTCTTTGTTTTTGGAGAGGTCATGTTTCTGTATTAGCCATAGTGTTTTTACACACCCAACCTGTACGGCGACGGGAACACACGAGCAAGTTTTGCCAGGGGGCTGAGACCGGTTTGATGACAGTAGGCCTACTGCCCGCCGTGTACCTTGCACCACAACGACCCAGGCCACAGAGCCTCGAGGATCGGCCAGGGTAGATACCGCTGCGCGCCGTCGGTGCATCGACAGAGATACGCACCAGAAATAAAGGTGCTAAGTTTCACTGCCGATATTGTGTGACAACAGCTCGTCATTTTGTGTCACAAGTGATGTCTTCCAGACAGTGTGCAAGACAAAGAGGTATTTTCTGATGATTTTAATTGTCATCCGTGAGCGATACAGTTGGGTAATGCAACATCATGCTCTTGACTGTACATGAATTTAAAACTCAGAACGACTAAGAGATTTGAGTGTAAGAAACTTAAATGTACGAAATCCATGAAATTAGAATACTGATCGTCGTCCTTACATTTTGTTAGGAATGTGAGACTGCAATACTACAGGGACCTACAAAGAAATCCGAAAGCCATTCATCTTAAAGATAACTTATCAAAATACATACTGGTAAAAATGGGAAAAAATACTACAAATCCACTTAACTTTTGTTTGTTTGTTTTCTTTTTGCCCCGCGGGTTGATAAAAATTTGTTTTTTTTCTAGAAACAAAAGTTCAACGTGGCAGTCACTTTTTATGCCAGTTAAAAATCACACGCTAGCTCAACGATCAAACAGTATTCAGTTCAACGTAGTTTCAATTTCTTTGTTTACAAACATTTAAAAGTCTTGCAGTCTGCTGTTCTCCATTTGCACTACAAGACATAACTTAACACCCAGAAAGTATAAGAAAAATTTGAGAAAACGTCACGACTCACTTTGTTTCGGACGCACGCTGTTGAGGATTGGAGCTTCCCGATGAAGCACTTGGCAACATGCTGTCCAACAATTCGGCTTTCTGTCAACTTCTTATAGGTTGTGAAGCTGGAGCAAAAGTTGTTCCCGGATAGGTGTGCAAGCACAGAATGTGTCTTCCACCAACTACCAGGCAGCTTATATTATGCAGCGTCCGGTAGCGTGGTGACGTCAGAGTGCAGTGACTGTGCGCCTTGTATGGCAGAGTACGTGTTGTAGCATAGGCAGGGTACTACAGAGTACGGCTCGGCCACCCACGGGTAGTGGATCCAGTCTGCTTTGGGGACTATACAGGGATGATATCACAACAAATTGTGAGCCCGTCAAAATCATTTTAGATCGAATCAAATATAACTTTACAGGCCAACCTTTCTTGATTTTGGTTGTTTTTTTCATGTAGGCCTAATGTTTCACATTTGCGTCACAGAAAAGTGGATTTTTGTTGTATCATCTGCGTTATGGACAAAGTCATTTTATTTTCTTTCTGTTAATTTTGGCTTACAGTTTAAACCCGATTAAAGCCTAAGCCCACGCCCTTTTTGATTGTTGCTGCTATTTTAACTATTAAGAGTGCGTGACAAAGGAGATGGACGCTGGTTGGACGCTCACTGTCCACAACTGGTGACTGCGCCGAGTCGTGCTGGCATTGATTGGTTGGTCATTGGGACACCGACCAATGGCTAGCTGCAAACTAACTAATTAGAATAATACTGTTAGATTATCATAGATGAATACAACGATATAATGTCACACCATGCAAAGGCTCTCAGACCAATCAATAATCGGCATTACGCACAGTTTGCACCATATATGGTTCGCTAGTCCAAAATGTTACGACCGAGGTGTACAAATCGTGGGGCCTTTGTGGAAATAGAGGAAGTATTGAACCAACCACGAGTAAAGCCTTTGACACTTTTGTAGGGTGGGAGTGATAACTTTGCCTCGGCGGAGGCGGAGAAAAGACTTCAGTTAAAAATGTGGGTCACGGGTAATGATATTGAAAGAAGGAAACTATTCGGTAACGACACGATACGTGGCAAGTCACAGGCATTTAATTCCATTGAAATAACTAACTTTAACTTAATTCAACTGAATTTCTTCATTTGTATAGACATTAAGAAGTGTTCAGTTTTGGGATACGGTGTTGTTTCTTATACATGTTGGTTGGCTTATGGTTTTAGACCCCAGCTCCGAGTGAAAACTTCAGTTTATAGCTGTGGTCCACGCGGCATTGACCCATTAAAGCCCCTCGGATTGCTTGTTATGTTTAATTGATGACGCTCAAATATTGATTATATACAAATTCTGAGTGACGTGGCCCAAACTTGCATGTTCAAACTTGTGCAACGTGGCACCAACTTGTGTCCAGGTGTCAGTAAACCTTGAACAGACATCATGCTATCCAAAACAGTTCCAAAGCACATGCAGAATGCAACAGATATGAATAAATATGACTTTACTGAAGTCTCGATTCTTATGAGTGGGTACGGTTTAAAATAAAATATAATTATCTGAAATCTTTCTTCGATATTTTCAAAAAAATTTACACTTACATAAGGCATATTCCCCAAGGACATGTAATTTGAACTTTTGGACCATTAATTCCGAAAACTCCATGCTGATTTCTTCGGAAACAACTTCCCAGGGTTTCCAAAATAATTCGGAGGAAGAAGGTTTTCCAAAGAAAAATCGAGTATTTCATTCAATAGGTGCAAGCTTCCGAGATTCGATCCGGAAACTTAAGTACTGGTAGCTTCTATACATGCGTTCTGGTTGTGGAAATTGTTGGCCAGCAATCTTCCACTGATAGCAGGGAAAACACAAACCCTCACTGGGTGAGCGTTTCCTAGTACAGACCTATACCCTGCAGGCTTTACTCAACGTTAAAATGCACACTTCCTACGAATGCCATCTGAATATACATGTAATGGTGAGATCTCTGCTACTTTGCCTACTCTGCCTCTACAAGGTTTCGTTTTCAGTTAGTTCGTGGCTTTGTTTCCTCTGTCAAGTTCTTAGAAAGTATAAAGCGATCATGAACTGTCAGAAAAAAACAAGAAACACTAGCGCATGATCGCAACTTCGAATTCCACCGTTCTTTTCTGAACACGTTCACAGCCCTGGTATTTCAAAAAAACACACAGTCCCTCAAAAGTGCGCCAAGCGACACCTGAACAGCCTGAAAGCATTATTCCAATTCGGGTTTATCTGTTTATTCATTCGGTTGATGCAGCGTGATTTTGTATGCACTTTACAAAAGGCATTGGAAAAATCAGGAGATAAAAATGCCCAAATTCCTATAGGTATTGATACGCCAAAGAAGTATGTTATTCATAGAAACGAAACCTCGACGGTTAGTGTCATCTTTCATCGCTATCGGAGATATTCCAGTCCATTAAGGCACAAATGAATATAATTAAAATAAAACACAATTGTCACAGCTAAGCATGTGTATGTCTATCCAAATATAAACTGGCAAAACTATTTCCAAAATAGTACTTAATATATGAAAGACAGGATTTGAACGACTTTCAAACTTACCATGTTATTTTGACATGTCATTTATGCTTATGCTTTGACATAAAGGTACCCACTTTGAATTTATGTGGCGTGGGTCTTGTAAACGGAAAAGGATGTTTACCTCTCAAGCTGGAAATATTACATTGGTGTCATAGTTTTAATTCTTTTTTTAAACAACCATCTGATTGAAGCAACCAGTAATTATCAAAATCTAGAAGCAAACATTCAGGGAGGCACTGTGTCGCGTAAAAGATTCAATGCACCAGAACTGCGTTGCCGCTTAGTAGGCTAATTGCAGTGAAAGCCTATGAATATATTCCGTCAAATTCATTCCCGTTAAACTCCAGTACTTTAAAACCTTTTACGAGTATGTTTTGTTAGTCGAAGTGCTTGTAGTTCCTCCTTACCAACGAGGAGGGAAACCCGGATTTTTAGTTTTAAACACAGCGAAAATCATCCGTGCGCTATTTGCAAAACACGGTACCACCACGATAAATCTAGCGGAGCTGAGCAGGTGCACCGCCCGTGATCGACCCTAGTTAGTTTTGTTTGAAGCATCGCTTGAACATTCAGGTCTCGGTAAAACTAACACGCACACACAATCATCTATGAACATTTGTGAAATAACTTCCTGTTGCAAAGCCGTCTTTGTTCGTTGCTTCAATGGAAAATCATTGACAACGAATAAAATTCACAGTCGCGTCTGTCATCAAAAGATCAGACAGGCATCATGGTGTATAATAATTTCAAATAAAGATGGAAATCGAAAATGTAATACAAAAAACACAATCAGTTGCCAGCAAAATTGTATGAAAAACTGTTATAACGCTTTGAGATTTTCTGAGGCAAGCTAACTTAGCACCGAAATTCCTAAGAGATGTCTAGTTTTACATCAAGGCGTTAATGAAAATTAGGTTTATCTATTTATAGCCAACACTTAAGGCTGTTAATCTATCACTCGATCTATTGAGCGTGGATCCTTTGTAGACATTTGCAAAAAAAAATCAACCACGAAAGAATAACCAAGCGTTCCGCACCAAACGGCCCACTGAGCAGGTCTTGTTCGCATGCCAAGGTATAAGCGCAGAAAACCCGGGGAAACCCCCGTCAGCCCCTTCCCTGCAGCTGCGCGTGTGCCACACAAAGAGTCGATTCTTCTTTCCTTGGACTCGCGTGCCCACACGCGAACAGCGTAGTATTAGGAGCGAGCATGCGGTGACAAGTCGCATAAAAAGCAGAGAAATACCGACTGATTACATTATGCAGTAATACGTCTAAGAACAAGAATTATATATAGATAAAAGATCCTATTATATATATGAACAATCTATATCCGGGTTAGGACGAATAACGAGTAAAATGTATAGGCCTAAGCGAGTAAAAATCTTTTTTGTTTCAACGATTTCTGACTTGCTCGTGTTATCTTGTATCTGGAGTTTATTAGGCTATCAAATTCCAGTCTGTTTTAGGTGGATCTTGACTGGTTGATGACTTTTCAGAGCTTAACTGTAATTCAAAGTTTTTAAGTTTTAAATTTCAATGCAACTTCTTTTACTTGGCTTTTGATTGGTCGATGAAATTTCAACCATCACTTAATATGCCGGTGAAGATTTAAGTCCTTTTTTCAAAGGCAAACGGGAAAAAATAAGACTGAAGCTGAGCTTCAGGAAATTTCCAGTCTTTTTAGAAATTTTTTATAAAACAATTAAAACAATTTATAATGCTTCAAGTTAAAATGAATAAACACATCACTTCAGATAAAACTGCAGAGCGTGCCAGGCTGCACCTGCAGCCATTCACAATATTAACATTTGCAGCAATTAGGGAAATTTCAAATTTCCCTTTGAAAAAAGTCGCACATTTGCACATTATAGGCCTGAAGTGTCCCCTAAATTAAAGCAAGGTAACTGAATAAATCCGATTTCAAACACTAACGCTGTAAACATCATTCCTTGTTACAGGACTATGCTATACAGGTGTATGTGTGTGTGTTTAGCAGTCATGAATATACATTACAGAACACGCTTTAAATCTCAGTTGGACAGAATATTAGACAAACTGTGGGTGAATATTGGAACAGACGGGAAAGAGATTGGATGGACTTGTAACCTCATGCAACTTTTGTTGTTACTATATGGCAACAAAGACGGAAGCAACATTGGTATCAACAAAGGGTGGACAAATGTTTAAACCGGACGTTGATCGGGGCTTATGGGCGTTAATACTGACCTTTAGTGACCCCTACCGGACGCCAAACTGGGCTCCGCTGACTAGTTTTTGCAGTAAACAACATGGGCGAATTCGATGATCACTTAATAAGGTAATCGATGACTTTTGATTGGCGTAATAATCGGACAGCTTTTTGACAGTGACTTTGTTTTCAAGTTGAGTTTGGGGGAATTGAGTATACACCCACGTATGTCGCTATTTGAGGGTTTTTAGTGTCTCGCTTGCCTGGAAACCAACTGCATGTGACAGGAAACCAATGTGGTTGGGGTGAATGCTAACTAAAAAGTAGGGGGGAAAGGGAGCAGTGCCTTGCAGCCATGTCTTACCCTAGAGAAGCAATAACACAAAAGGAAAAAAAATGGACTGACAAAGACAAGTGGTTATCCTATAGACTCAGACTTTACAGATTTCCCTAAGCTTTATGAAAACACATCGAGGATAGAGCAACACCTTGTACCGAAAAGAGGACTGACTGTGAAAACTGAAATTACTTCACATCACGAGAACACACAATTCACAGCTTAGCAGTGCATAAAA